ACAACTCACTGTTACTTAAATTAGGAAAAACACAACAATATAAATAAAATGCTCCAGAGAAGTTCCGAAACTCGCCTTAGGACACAAAGCAGCCAAGAGTGGATGATGAAACTAGCTTTTAGGTCACCTGACTCTCCAAACAGTTCTACTGTGTGAAGATCAGACTGCCAATAAAAAACTGGACATTTAAAATTCCAAATGGTGCCATTCTAGCCATTAGAAGCATTTTCAACCATAAAAATAAATCAGTTAACATTGAGAGAAAATCCGGGGCATATTTTATCTAAGTTAAAAAAGTCTAACAATAATTTTTATATCCTAAACACTTTTAAAAGAAAATAGACTATGTATCACACACACACATACATACACACACACACACACACACACACACACACACAAACACATCAACAAAAGGAGTACACTTTTAGGATCACACTTGACTTACATGGCCCAGCTACACAGAGAGCTGTTACATGTATTATAACACACCAACAAGTACACAGAGATATTCCAAGGTGAATGAAGTATCCCAAAGTGAGTACTCTCATGTTAACTGCCCCTTGGACATCAGTGCCCATCTTTTGGGCCAGGGAGCAGAATTACAGGGGACAGATCAACAGAGTCACTACATCCTTCCAGAGCAAGCTGACATTTGGTGTTAACAAGAGACTGTGGCTGAAGCTTTGATTCTATCCAGCCTGCTGTTCCTATAACGGGTTGGCATCAAACACAATCATGGCTTGGCTTCAGCTGCAATGCATTTAGGTCCATTTGCAAAGTAGTATAGGAAACAGAGGAGTAAAACTTAACCATATGCTGCAATGCTCCTTTTACACTTGGAAGCATCGCAAATGCACTTTTTCAGGCTTTTGAGGATGCCCTCTAGCATCAGAACATGGATTTTTGAGTCTTACAAAAGCTCTTCTTACTGTGCCTACACCACAGATTTACACTGCTGTAACTCCTGTCAGACATCATCTTCGCTTTATGAATAAATAAAACTATGCTCTAGGGAAACATTGATTTAAGAGGAAAAATCAATACCCATCTAGCATGCAGCAGACTTGAGCTTTAAGGCAGCTTATTCCCAAAGTACAATACAATACGAAGTGTAAAACCATACTTTTTGCTTCCTAATAAAGGATAAATGAGAGTGTGTGAAATTGGCAGGCAGATACTTGCTTTCTGTAGTCCTAAGAATATCAGGAGTCCTCTTTTCCTCTTAAAAGTAGCTTAGCTGATATTTCAAAAAAGAAAAGAGAAAGGGAAAAAGAAAAAAGGGACAGATGAAGCCACGGTGGCAAAAGCTTGATACTCTGTGAATCTAGACTGAGTATGTAAGGATTCAGTGATTCTGTCCTGTGTGCATAAAACTTTTCATCACGAGCAGTTTACAAGTATAAGGGTGGGCATGGTGGTTCATGCCTGCCATCCAGCATTTTGGGAAGCCAAGGTGGGAGGATTGCTTGAGCCCAGGAGTTTGAGATCAGCCTGAGCAACATGGCGAGACCTTATCGCTACAAAAAAAAAATAATAATAATAAATAAGAAAACTAGCCAGGCATGGTGGTGTGTACCTGTATTCCTAGCCACATGGAATATAGGTAGGCTGAGGTAGGAAGATCTCTTAAACTCAGGAGTTTGAGGCTACAGTGAGCTATGTCCAACCTGGGCAACAAAGTGAGACCCTGTCTCTAAAAACAAAAACAAAAACAAAACAAAAGGAATTAAAAAATTACGTATGTTTGTTGGCAAAATTCTCAAGGAAAAACATCAACGAAATGCTAACAAATGCTAACAAAGGGTCTCCTTGGGTAATGAATTCACAAGGAAACATTTTTCTTCCTTGAGAGTATTAAATTTTCCAACTATAGTGAATATAGTGAATATGTATATGTTTTTATAGTTCAGAAAACATACACACACACACAATAAACATAAGAGAGGACAGCAAAAAGAAAATGAAAGATTAATTAGACTGACTGCAAAGTATTTTGTTGAGTACTAGCCTAGATATAGCTAAGACTTATACTGTAACACTTATTTATATTCCAGGCCAACTCGTTCTTACTGCTTTTGGATGCTTTTCAGAGCATAAGCAGGCTGCTATTAAAATTGACTGATTTAAAAATTAAAGCTACAGCTTATGCTGAAATTAACCTTGTCTTTGTGAGCCAAAGATCAAATGCGAGACAAAAGCTGGCTAGAGTCATCATTTCCTCAGCTCTGCAATCACCTTACAACCTAAGACCATTTTCACAGTGGAGACAGTTGTTAAAAGTTCTGACAAGCCCTGTGGTAACCTTTGATTACAAAGCCACTCCAGAAAGCCAAGGCTCTTGCTTAGAATTGGTTTGAATTAAAAATGAATCCCATTATTTTCCCCTAGCTCTTCAAAGATGCAGTTCATCACTAATTGTGTTAACTCTGGCCTCTCAAGAAATCACACTTATTTGTTAATTTGGCTTAGGAGTGCACATTTCCCTGGACAGTTGCTGATTCTGTGTTCTCTGCTTGTGTTTCTCTTTTTTGGGGGCAATCTTGGCTCATTAAAACTTTTGCCTCCTGAGCTCAAGCGATTCTCATGCCTCAGCCTCCCAAGTAGCTGGGATTGCGTGCGACACCATGCCCAGCTAATTTTTGTATTTTCAGTAGAGACAGGGTTTTGCCATGTTGGTCAGGCTGGTCTCGAACTCCTGGCCTCAAGTGATCTGCTCGCCTTGGCTTCCTAGAGTGCTAGGATTACAGGCATGAGCCACTGCACCCTGCCTGCTTTGCTTGTATTTCTAGTAACTGGAAAGAATAACTCTGGATATTTGAAATATATTTCCAAGGCACAGGCACATTAGAAGCCTGAAAATGGGTTGGGGCAATTTTGAATTTTGAATTTCAAACTAAAACATCATAAAGTAGCTACTATTATCACTAAAGTTGGTGTGGATACAGTATGAATCTACTTCCACTGTGGAAATGATACACAGTTACAAAATAATGTAGCCACCATGCTAGTTCTGATCTTAGCAGAAGAGGGAAAGGGGACATAAATTGGTTTTGGTGGCTCTTCTTTAATGTATAGCTACTAAAAGCAAAAATAACAAGCAAAGCATTGTTGTTGAGAAGAATGCTTACATTAAGTCAGAAAAAAAGCACAGCTTGAGATAAACTGTTTTTCATGAATTCTGTCTTCTTCTTCTTCTTTTTTTTTTGAGATAGAGTCTTGTTCTTCTCACCCAGGCTGTAGTGCAATGGCACCATCTTGGCTGACTGCAACCTCTGTTTCCTGGGCTCAAGCAATTCTCCTGCCTAAGTTTCCCGAGTAGCTGAGATTATTGACATGTGCCACCACACCCAGCTATTTTTTTATATTTTTAGTAGAGATGGGGTTTTACCATGTTGGCCAGGCTGGTCTTGAACTCCTGACCTCAAGTGATCTGCCCACCTCAGCCTCCCAAAGTTCTGCGATTACAGGTGCGAGCCACCACACCCAGCCTCTATCTTCTTCTTTATTACAGTGTCAGAGATATATTCACTTGAATAAATTAGAGCATCCACTGTGTGTTACTATGATCCAGGCATTTATTAGATACTGTAGATATTAAAATAAGATATAAACATTGCTTTTAAGCTTAGCTTCTATAGGAGGGTCAGATGGAGTAAAACTCAAGAAGGCGGCCATGTATAAAAAAGTACCACACAATGCTTTCCAGAAATTGGGAGGACTGTGGTTCTATTACAGAAGCATGTGATGCCTATTCTAAAATATATAGACTCTTGAGTTAAATCTTAATTACCCCCAACTGGAAAATGCTCTACATTTCAGGCCATAATAATGTGTGTAAGGCATGCAGCTCTAGTGGAAATGGAAATGCATTAGAGAAAATGTCTAATCCCTGAATTGAGATTCTTGTCAAATATTAGGAGATCAGAGGAAGGCATTTTTAGAGTGTGGATAATCAAAGCTCTTAATGCACTGATTCTTTAGCTTACATTAACTAACAAAAGGCAGGCTGATTTCCAGGATCTGCAGTTATATTTAGAAAGACAGTGGCCTCAGAGGGGAACCAAAATAACCCTGACATAGCTCCCTGCTCTCCTAAGAGGAAAGGGTTACTTTAGCAAGAGAAGAAATTTCTCAGTAAGTTGAAGCAAAGATTTAATTAAAAGACAGTGGCCTATTTTACATGATTCCTTTGGTGAAGAGATTGGGAAAGCTTAGATGAATTCCTTTCCAGGCCATACAGGCACTGGATAATGATTTTAAATGAATATGAGTCGGGCAGACCATGACATTTGAGGTTTACAAAATAAATCTTTCAAATGGGTGGACATAGTGCTTCAAAGTCCAGGATTCATTATAAAAACTGATAACCACTGTAGTAAACTAATTGCTAAAATCAAATGCAGAATGTCTTTGTGTTAACCTGTTCATTTAGTCTGAATGGTTTTTTTCTGTGTTTGGTCTGTTCACAGAAGATGACTCAAGGTTATTAAGGAATTATTAACATAACTGTATCATCGGCACAAAATGAGATTACTAATACCCTGAATAATGATAACCAAAAACATAGCCTCCTATCATTTTGGTGGTGGTGGCAGTGAGCACTGTGTATCCCGTTAATCTCTCTATCAAGCCCATGAGGCTATCCAATTACTATCCCTGTCTCAAAGATGAGGAAAGAGATTGAGAGAGTGTAGGCACTTAGCCCAATTCACAGAGGTTTTACAAAATTCAGCCACAATTGGCTTACCACCAATCAAAGGGAAACACCATGCAGTAGGAAGTACACCCATTGGCATCTTGATTTCTACTGCAGAAGACCTCAGGTGCTAAATCCAAATCGGACTAGCTTATACCCTGGATGTTTCTCAGCTTAGAAGCTGTGTGTCTGCAGACTTAATCCAAACAGAGTCTCCAAATCAACAACTGATACATGCAAAGTTAAACAAAAAGCCAGATTGAATGAGTAATAATGTAGAATAAAACAGATAAAGGAATACCTTGAAATCACCCTTTCTCAGCAATGAAGTTGTGCCCAACTGCCAAAATAGGAGAACGACCTCGTGTTTTCTGGAAAAGAAACACAAGAGAGAACAATTTCAAAATTCTGAACTGGATTAAAACCGCAACAACTAAGGGTAAAATAATAATCTTTTCATTTACTTATTTAAGTTTTGGCCAATAGTAAGCAACTGAAAAACAATTATTTAATTAGGCTTTACTGCCTTAACACTATAAAAAAAGAATGTTAAAAAGCAAAAGCTAAAAGTTGCTCTTAAAATATCCAGAACTATATGTTATCCCTAATTTTATACAGGTAGAAAAGTAAAAATGATGACATGAGTCAATGTGATAATAAATTATCCTCACACTTTTACTCATTGCTGCCTTCTACCTCATTTGTGCCAATTTTGATAGTGACTCGGGGTTATCACCAGCACTGCACCTGTACACCCCAAACACAGACCCCTAGAGCCCATATGCAATGTACATGGATTAAGCAAAAACGAAATTAGTTGCATGCCTCAAGAAGATGATAGTGTTGTCAGAAAAAAAAAAAAAAAGGTGAAACAAAATTGTATAGAGACATGTGATAACTGTTATATTTAGCTTTATTATTTAATGTCTTCATCTTGAAATATGCTGCATTTTTGTTAGCATGGCTTCTTATGCTTAAAAATAAAATTATCACTTATATAGATCACTTTTCCAAGAATAAATGTGATTAGAGTTTGAGGAATGTAATCTCAAATTGAAAATTCTGTGGATTTTCAAATTGAAAATTTTGTGGAACTGTGGATTTAAGTAGACATCTGAAAATATGCTAAGTGGAAGTAAAAAGCATGGGTAAAGAATGAACCTAATAATGAGACGGAATTTTTTCAGGAAAAATATCCACTGTGGTATACCAGTGCCTCCTCTTTTCTCTTTTCTTTTTTGATAAAGTTTAAAAGAGAGAAGAAAGAGCATTTGTTTTAGAAGAAATGAAAAGCAAAGCAACATTTGAAATATCAAACAGTCAAGCTGACAACAAGCAAGGTGATAATCCTTCCATAAGCTCCAGTACCAAACTCCACAGTGGCCATGAAGACGTGAATCTCCAGACTCTTAACCCATGTGGTCTAAGAGCCGCTTGGATACAATTATCAAGAGAAAAGTGCAGTAGAAGGCGAGAGAGAGTTCCATGCCAGGAAGGGCAGTAAAATGGTAAAGAATACATTTGCCAAGAGTCCACATGCAACAAAGAAAGGCAATGGAAAGTCTCTTTTCTTGGCCTTTTGCTAGGAAATCCCCTATCCTGAACTATTAAACATTATGGCTGAACAACACTATGAGTGCTGGGAAATTTCCCTACCAGCCTGGAAACCTATCATTTACAAAACCAGGAGGATGCATTTCAAGCTCTAAATAACTGCATCGGAAACAAGTATTTGGGAATAGCACCTGTTCAAAAGTGGAGAAACAATTATTTTGAGAGGCTGCTAGTGATGTCTAAAACACTGCCAAATCTGTTTAATAAACACTTACTGGTAAATCTTTTTGCTATGTACAAGGGGTTTACAGAGGCAAGATGATAAGGCCCAGTTAAGGAGCCCAAGTTACAAGTAAGTAGCACAATACAGAGAGACACAAGGAATCAGAGGATTATGAACAGGTTGCATAAAGTACAGAAAAGAGCAGGACAGTTTGGTTCTGGAGGGCCCCATCCGTGCTGTTCTCCACAGCCCTTGGGATAAAAACCGAGCCCCTGGCATTGTGACAATCTCCCCATCATGTGCCCAACCTGTCCAGTGTCATCCTATCATCCTCACTGCCTCACTGCCCTCCTGAGTCCTCCATGCCTCTGCCACCCTGTCTGCTTTATAGGCTAATCAACCAATACAGAATGGCATAGGGACCCACTGAGATGTGTGCTCCTTCAGCTGCACTCACCAGTGTAGGTGAAGACGTGGCATGGGGAGAGAACTGGGTTATGCAGGGTTGGGGTTTTGCTAGTGAGTATATCTAATAAAGCACTTGTTTTTAAGCTGAAACTGTAGTGTGCTTCTAAATATCCAATGAAGCGCTTGTTTTTAAGCTGGAAACTGTAGTATACTTGTAAAGAATTGGTGAATCCTGGCACCTAATAGGTGGGTCCTCCAACTTGTCCCAACCTCCTGTCCCATTGTGTCCTCAGGCAGTCACATCCTTCTCAATCCTCTCCTTCCTTTATTTAGAGACCAATGAGGAAATAATTAGAAACACCAGTGGAAAACCATGCACTAAAACAGGGCTTTCAACCTTGGCCTTGCTAATGTTTAGGGCTGGAGAATTCTTTGATTTGAAGGGCTAGCATCTCCTGCCCTGAGTTGTAATAAACAAAAATGTCTCCAGACTTTGACAAATGTCCCCTTAGGAGCACAATCATCCTCAAGTTGAAAATCACTGGTTTAAGAGGAATGATGACTTATTAAAACAAAATAATTAGAGCATCATGGCTCACACCTATGATCCCAGCTACTTAGGAGGCTGAGGTGGGAGGACTGGCTGAGCCCAGGATTTTGAGGCTACAGTGAGCTATGCTGTGCCACTACACTCCAGCCTGGGTGACAGAGCATCTCTTAAATACAAACACACACTCACATATTCTCATATGTATATCTTAAGTTCCATATCATGCAGAAAAACAGTAATAGACGGGGACCCTTGGAAAGGGCATAGATGAGGGAGTGGATGCATGTACAAAGCCCCTGTTGTATTCTTGGCCCCACATGAGGTCAGTTATTTTATCCGATACTCACAAAACACCCTGTGCTTTTCCCTCTGTCTCACAGCTGCTCAAAACCTTGAGAGGCAATGATTTAGTGCATGCTGACAATGTTATTAAAAGCAGAACTCTTCACAATAAAATAAAAATAAGCATTGCTAACCACACCTTTCCTTTACTTTCAGTAGACTGAACACCTGACTCTTCCCCTCCTTGAGAATGACCAGCACAGCACATTTTCATGGCAATCAACTTCATTCTGTGATGTTTTAGGACATTTCCACTGCTGACTTAAAGTCCTGTGGTTCTTTTCATCATGACTGGCCCACATGGAGTTCCAGGCATGGCCATGATATATCTCTTTTCCTCAAACCACAGCAAATTAGGCATATTTAGCCTGCAGATTTGTGAAATGCAACCGGTTACAATTCTGCTAGTGTCCTAAGTGAGGATGACAAGTTTTGGAGTGCAGAGCAGTGTCTGGAGGTTAAATCCTGACTCACACTACCAAAGTGAGCATCAAATGAAGCAAGGGACAGGAATTTGCAGACAGAATTTCATGTTGGTCCTTTCCCCTCCTGATCCCCAAAAGGTCTGGTGGGCTCAGCAATCTCTGGTAAATTGCGCACATTCAGGTCAAAAGCATCACCCAAAAGGGATCTTACTGAGCCTTCTCTATTCAAAAAGACCCAGAGTGGCTTTTTAAATACATGTATGGATATGCAGTTCTTCCTAGTTGTTTTTTTCTGATTCCGTCCTAACATAATCCCACCTCCCATGCTAGTATCTATCCAAATACTTTATTTAAGGAGAATATCCATGTGTCAGCCCACTATTCTAGGTGGAGGTTCCGATATTGACCAAGGCAAAATTCCCTGTCCTCATGGAGCTTTCTTGTGGAGGTGGTAAACAAACTCATCATCTGGCAGAACAGCTGTGATAATGAGGAGAGGGTACAAGAAGGTGATCCAGAAGAGAGGAAGAGTGAACAGAATAGTGGCACAGGGACCCACTGAGATGAAAGTGAGACCTGTGATCACGGTGATGTGTGCTCCTTCAGCCACACTCACCAGTGTAGGTGAAGATGTGGCATGAGGAGAGAGCTGTGTTATGCAGGGTTGGGGTTTTGCCGGTAAGGATAATGAGGAAAGAGGGAGCAGAAAAGAACCAGATGGTGGATGCAAAAGAATAATTATATCATGAGATCATGGAATCTAAGCTGTATAACTAGGAAAAAAGAACAGAAAAGGGTGACAGATCATGAAAATTAGTAAGATCACTGGATGGTGAATACTGGTTGGCCATGAATGGTTAGAGTTAGGGTACATGGGATAGAAGATGGGAAGTGGTGATCAGAGAATGGAACGGTTGGGGAGAGAGTGGATTAGACACTTGCTACTTAGAGTGTGGCCCCAGGACAGGCAGCTTCTGCAATACCTGGGGACTTGTTAAAAATAGCAGAATCTCAGACCCTACCTCAGATCTACTGAATCAGACTCTGCATTCTAACAAGATCCCCAGGTGATTCACACTAAATTCGGGGAAAAACGGCCTTAAACCACTATCACATCTGCACCATGCTGGCTCAATTTGCAGTCAACCAGAAGCCACAGACACCCTATAAAAAAATGCTAGTGAATAGCTTTCTGAGGTTAGGAAATTCCCTGGGGCTCTGCTTCCCCTTCAAACAGCTCCACTTTAAATTGCTCATTTGGTTTCTTGGGTTTCCATCCAGCTGTCTCATGCTCTTGTTCTGCCAGGCCTTGCAGTCTTATGATATAGTTAGCAGCCTTAAAGCTCCATTTCCCAAAGAACACTGCCCCTTCGAGTGTTGGTTAGCCTTCCCTCCCTGTCTGTAGGCAAAGAGCATCTCCTTACTTCCCACAACCAGGTTCCAGATACCTGTCTCCACTCTAATTTTCCTGAGAGAAGTCAACCAGATACTTAGGATCCTCAGCCCAGCCTGTGTAATTCCATGTGCCCATACAAATCTATCCCAGGACATGAATGCAAAATGTATATATTGCCATTTGTGGCTTTTTAGAAGTTTAGCTTCCTGCTATAATAAGCATTCAGGGTTTTGTATCTTTTAGTATGAGTAGAGTGACTTGCCTCTTTATAATTTATAAAAAAGAGAAAACAGTTGTATATGACATTACAGAGTGAAAGATGAGGGTGAGTCTAGTTAAGGGAGGCTTGCTTTGCCTTAACAGCTTTATTTCTAATAAACAGAGTGTGACATTTTCACTAACCCAGATACAACCTCCTGTATAAACACTTGCATGTGAAATAATTTAGAATCTTTAGCTTCTTTTAAGACCAG